AGAGAGAGAGAGAGAGAGAGAGAGAGAGAGAGAGAGAGAGAGAGAGAGAGAGAGGCTCGCTGTGCAATGACTTGCTGTTTTCTGGTTGCCTGTAGCCTCTCTCTGTCGAGGCTGTACTATAGGTAGGACAGATCCGCAATTTTCTTTGGCTGAGGGCTAACCAAGAGACCTATCTGTGAGGGAAATTCGTGAGGGACATATCTGCAAATCCGGGGAAAAATACAGGCCCGGTACTAACAGGATTCCCTACAGCTACCCTAACTGTGCATAGCAGGCCCGGGCTACCCTAGGACAGACAGGCCCTAAGGGCCTATTCTGATAGACGGTCCTATAGCCTATAGCCGGGTCCGGTAGAGGCCGAGAGGCCGAAACAGAAACGGTACCGGTCGGTCAGTCAGTCCGGTCTAGGTCGAATCTAGGCTAGTTGTAGTCTATAGATAGATTGGGCACATCGGTTCAGGGCGTTTGGCAGTTGGTACCGAGTACATCGCTGCTGCGCTACGCGTGAACCGGTAGTGGTGACGGCTCAGCGTGGAAGGAGACGGGCATAGCCAGACCTCCGGAGTGCAGGCCATAGCTGGGACCTGCGCTGTACTCTGCCAGCGCGCAGGGGCTGACAGAGGTCTGGGTTATCGAGGTCTGCTGGAGGCGAGAGAGATTGGTGCCCTGCTGGACCCTCCTCCGGAGTGGGGTTCCAGGGGGTTTGCGCTGCAGCCATAGCTGCAGCTTCTTCATCTCAGAGGTCATCTTCTGTTACATGTTGCGCCTGCAACAGGCTGCACGGGCCATTTTCAGGCCCGTGTCATTTTCAGCCTGAAAGCCTGAAAACGAAGGCTTACAGGCCCCGTGTCAGTTTCAGCCTGAAAGCCTGAAAACCAGGGCCTACAGGCCCCGTGTCTGTTTCAGCCTGACAGCCTGAAACCAGGGCCTACAGGCCCCGTGTCTGTTTCAGCCTGACAGCCTGAAAACCAGGGCCTATAGGCCCCGTGTTTGTTTCAGCCTGACAGCCTGAAAACAAGGGCCTATAGGCCCTCAGGCCTTAGCCAGAAGCTACCTGGAAACTTCCCGGAAGCTTCCTCAGACTTTAGCCAGAAGCTACCTGGAAACTTCCGGAAGTTTCCTCAGGGTCTAGCATGTTTGGACATTGGCAAGGGCAGCCTCCTGGACGGGCCAGCATTATATAAGACCGGCCCGCCCTACAGGCAGAAGCAGGAGGCAGTTGTAGTCTTCAGGATTCAGCAGCAGCACTCTGGAGGGAGCGCTGCAGGGTAGTAGTAGCGTTAGCTTTTAGTCTTCAGCGCTGGGCGCAGTAGGTAGCTGTAGTCTCCAGAGCTCGGCGCCATAGCTAGGATAGCACTAGAGAGCGAGAGATTGGGCGGAGGCCAGAGGTACTTACCTGCAGCGCTGTTGCTCCAGCTTCGTCTTCGAGGTACCTGCAGCACAGCGCCAACATCACAGGTTAGTATCTGGCTCGTAACAGAGAGAGAGAGAGTTCTTCTTCTTCCTCTTCTCAGTCCACCATCTCCTTCTCCCCCTCTCATCATCTGACTTCACTGCATCTGCAGACTACGAGAGAAGAGAGAAAGAGCTTGGTGACATCGGATCCAGACTCGACTTTTGGACTTCCGACATTGCAACGAGGGATTATTTGGGACTTGTGACAAAGACTTGGTGTTGACGACATTCCCATCTCTCTCCCTCCTTTCGTCTGATTCCCTCCTCTTCGTCCGTGTATGTCTGGACCTGGCGCTTTCTTCCTGTGTACAGCGCCAGGCTCCTTCACACTTGGTGATGGATACGATGCATGTTTGGTCTGCGTTCAAACATTGATTGGGCTAGTCATCAGCATTCTAGCAGTCTGCTTCGCTATCTTTTGCTACGTGAATGAGGTCAGTCCCGGTCAGGTCAGGACTTGTATCTAAATCTTCCACTGCGCTATTCAGACACCATTATGTATGTATCGGAATGCACATTGCTAGTTGAGATTCCACTTGCACAACATTGTTCATTCAGTCCTTTTTATCACATTGCGGATCCTCGGTTATGATGTACATCGCTCATTTGAGCATGTAACAGTTGGTATCGGTGCACCGCACGTGAATCACGACAACCTGATCTGACACGTGTGCGGGGACTAGGTAGCTGATTAGTCTTTATTGATTGATTAGAACACACTAGTTAGCCCCCAAAATCATGATTTTGACCTTACTGCCGAAAATCGATTTTTTTTTTTCTTTCCTTGGATTTTATTTGCTCGCTATTCTGTTGTGGAAAATCGCAATAGCGCAACATCTGAAATTTCCATTTTCGTTTTTCTTCTGAAAATTCGAAATTTCGTTGTTGAAAATCCGGAATATCTTTCTTTTCGAAAATTTCGATTTCCTGTTGCATTTCCCATTATTTAGAAATCCGGAATATTTTTTCCGAAAATCGTTTTCTTAAAAACAGTACGGGAAATCCCTCCTGCGGTATTATTTTCCAAACTGCGAATATTCTCATCTGCGAAAATCCGAATACTTGTCATTTCGTTTCGGGAATTTTTTTCGCAGTTCTAGGATTCTGTTAGTCAATTCTATAATCATTTGCAGTCTGAAGTCAAATTTTTTTCTCTCTCATTGATCATTTCGAACTTCAAGGGAGATTGGGAGACCTACTGAACTTGCAAAAGTCGGGATTCTTATTTTTCTCGAATTTTTTTTTGCAAAGTTCAAACTTTTCTTTTTTTGATTAGTGGCTCCTTATCTGGGCGATTCTTCCCACCCACCCTCCCCATCTATGTTGTTGCCCCCTCTGACCTTACCTTCTCTACCTATCTCCGGGTACCCCCTGCAACGGCATTGGTGAGTCGACACGTCAGCAGACTACGTCAGCAGGACACGCCAACAGACCACATCAGCAGGACACGTCAGCAGGCCACGTCAGCAGGCCACGTCAGCGGACAGAGCAGGAATACCACGTCAGCAGGCCCCCGGCCTGGTACATGCTGTTGCGGGCACAGACAACCGTCATGGACCAGAGGCCCGGTGAAGCAGATGAGGCCTATCAGGCCCGGATGCTGGCTTGGAGTACCGAGACAAAGAAACAGGCAGATGACGCAGCTGCAGCAGCGAAGAAGAAGGCAGAGGATGTCGAGCAGGCACGTCTGCTGACACTTGAACAACAGCGCCAGCATGACGAGGCAGCAGCAAGGGCTGCCGATGAAGAAAGGAACCAACGTCGCGAGAAGATATTTAGCGGAGAGCGGACCTTGCTCACAATGGCAGCGGAATGGCGGACCGAGGCTGAGAATGGCAAGTTGGAGGATTGCGAAAACAAGATTGCTCTCCTCCTCTAGCATCTCACAGACCTCCTGGCTACATGCATTACGCAGCAGGAGGACATCCACAGCCTCGACGGCTCGCTAACTAAACTACAAAGCCACCTGCAGCAGCTGGAGCAGCGACCTGTCGCCGCACCCGATGCAAGCTCTTCCAATACCTCCGATCGCCTCGAAGCATTGGAGATGCATGTCGGCCCCCTCCAGGACGGCGCACAGTTACAGCAGACCGCGACGCAACAATTGCAACAGCGGATCTGTACCACCGCCAATACCTCAAGTTCGGAGCCGCGCGAGACAGCTCCAAAGTTTGACGGGCAGGAGATCTTCTGCGACTCGATCAAGACAGATCCAATTCCACGGTTCCGCAAGTTCGAGCTCACGCTGCAGCTTCACAACATCAAAGAACACAAGCACCACGCATACTTGTACTCTCGCTCAGGGGGCGCGTGCCAGGCTTGGTTGGACAATCTCTTGTCCAAGTACGGAGTGGTAGCTGCCGACTTGCACACCAAGATCAATTGGGATGATCTGAAGGCGGCGTGGCACAAGCGGTTCCAAGTTGAGCCGCCCGAGATCAAGGCTATGGACAAGCTCATGGTCTTCGAGCAAGGCACGCTGCCAAGTACCGACTGGATCGCGGAGTACCAACGCTTGACGTCAGTCCCAGACATCCAGATGGGCTTCAAAGCCATACGCCGCTACTTCATTTCAAGGTCATGTCCGGCATTAAGCAATGCCCTCACTCATGTCGAGGACACCTTGACGACGACGGCGGAACTTTTTGACAAGGGCGCAGATCATGATTACGAACAAGGAAGCTAAGAACCTCCGTTCGTCTGCATCAGGCCCGAGCAGGGACCAGCATCGGCCAAGAGTGGCTGTGGTCGCAGCGGCAACGCCGTTTGACCAAACCAGCGAGGCTGTGTCTGCCAGTGAAAGAGACAGACTCGCAACCGCTTGGGAAGGTGGCTGCCCCGGCAGAGGCCGAGGACGCGGCAAGACGAAGACACACACCGAATCTAGCCCCGGGCCCGGTGCAGCAGCTCCAGCCCCTTGGTCCCAATACGACATCTCCGAGCAAGCCTTCAAGGCGCGCACGAGATTCCACTATTGCCTATGGTGCAACAGTGATCTTCATCAGACACCGGTCTGCCCATTGAAAGGCAAGGGCAAACAGGGAAACTGAGCACCGCCGAGAGTGACTCGACAACACTCTCGACGCCTCCGGAACCGGTTTCTTTGCGAGTAACTGGCCTTCATTCTGAGGCGCACGCGGAAGTCGATAGTCCTCCTCTTCTACTTTCTCTTGAGGACTATGCTGCCCGGCTCGTTCCTACGCTGGGTACTTTTTCTCAAGGACAAGACGTGTGTGCGGCATCTTCTCCGTCGGGCAGCGGTTCCTTATCGTCTTCAGGTGGTTCTTCACGGGATTCGGTGCGAGTTCAACATAGAGGTACTGGACCCGCTCACGTCTGAGGATTTCGCATGGCTTCCTCTCCCGACCACGGGCCGCTTGCCGCGACCACAATGCGCAGCACTCTGCGCTCATCTCCACACGTACTTATCCTTCTATGCACCACCAACTTCGCTGACGGATGACGAAGTCGCGGTGGGGGACATCCTTGCGTATATTACCAAGGTGGCCCGCGAGTTTCGCACACAGCGGTACGATGACAACACCGCACCGCTCATGTATGTCTGCATCCAAGTTGGGCAAGCGTCCTCCAGCGTTTTGCTGGATAGCGGAGCGACTCGCAATTTCATGAGCCACGCCTTTATGCAAAGGGCTGGCCTTGGTGCACAAGTTCGGAGGAAGGCAAACCCGACGGCGATCAAGTTGGCGGACGAAAGGACGCAACAACTTATCGACCGTTACTTCAAGGCCGCACCGGTGTATTTCGCACCTCATGCATGCGAACCGGTGACGTTCGACATTTTGGACACGGACTTCGATATCATTTCGGGAATGCCTTGGCTTGCAAGTGTGGATCACACGGTCAACTTCCACCAGCGGACTCTTAGCGTTCGTGATGCCTTCGGCGCTGAAGTGCCATGTACTATTCCTCTTCCGCACCCTTCGAACCGGTGCCAAGTGGTGACGGCCAAGTCAATTCTTCCCCCACGGCCTTGTCTTCGGACCCCCGTGTGGTGCGGTTGCTTGACGAGTTCACCGACATTTTCCAGTCTGGTGCCGGATCGGCCGATCTCTCACGAGATCATTCTTGAGGCCGGTGCCGTGCCGCCGAACGGCTGCATTTACCGCAGCTACGACAACAGACCGACCAAATACTTGGTACACTTTGTGTACTGATGCAAGGCAAGCCGGTGTCTTCGGCTCCACGTCGCACCCGCGACCAGATTCCACCTTCGGATCGTCAGCTTCGCCCTCGACCCGGCTTGACTTCATAAGCACGGGGGGGTGTTACATGCTGCGCCTGCAACAGGCTGCACGGGCCATTTTCAGGCCCGTGTCATTTTCAGCCTGAAAGCTTGAAAACGAAGGCTTACAGGCCCCGTGTTAGTTTCAGCCTAAAAGCCTGAAAACCAGGGCCTACAGGCCCCGTGTCTGTTTCAGCCTGACAGCCTGAAACTAGGGCCTACAGGCCCCGTGTCTGTTTCAGCCTGACAGCCTGAAAACCAGGGCCTACAGGCCCTGTGTCTATTTCAGCCTGATAGCCTGAAACCCAGGGCCTACAGGCCCCGTGTCGTTTCAGCCTGACAGCCTGAAAACAAGGGCCTATAGGCCCTCAAGCTTTCGCCAGAAGCTACCTGGAAACTTCCCGGAAGCTTCCTCAGGCTTTAGCCAGAAGCTACCTGGAAACTTCCGGAAGTTTCCTCAGGGTCTAGCACTCTGGAGGGAGCGCTGCAGGGTAGTATTAGCGTTAGCTTTTAGTCTTCAGCGCTGGGCGCAGTAGGTAGCTGTAGTCTCCAACGCTGGGCGCCATAGCTAGGATAGCACTAGAGAGCGAGAGATTGGGCGGAGGCCAGGTCAGTCCCGGTCAGGTCAGGACTTGTATCTAAATCTTCCATTGCGCTATTCAGACACCATTATGTATGTATCGGAATGCACATTGCTTGTTGAGATTCCACTTGCACAACATTGTCCATTCAGTCCTTTTTATCACATTGCGGATCCTCGGTTATGATGTACATCGCTCATTTGAGCACGTAACATCTTCTCAGGGCTTGGTGGCGCTGCTGCAGACTTCCACCCGGGAAGTCTTTCGACACTTCGTCATCATCAGATACTGTGGCGCTGGTCTTCTTCTTCATCCTCCGAGTGGCGCTTGGCCTCAAAGGCCTGTTTCAGGGTGGCGCTGCCCTCAGGAGGCTGTATTTGGGTGGCGCTTGATGTTCCAGGGACTCAAGGGGTGTTACGGGTGCTAATCAGGGTTGGGGAGTGAAGCGCTGCTCATTTATGAGCAGCGCACTGTAGTACTGAAGTTATCCTGACAATTCGAGACTCTGAGTTTAATAAACAGTGTAATACTGTGTTTGGACTATCATCGTTTCATTGTTTTCCTGGATGTGATCTGCTCGACTTTTCTCTATGACTGGTTGTGAGGATTGAGTGAAGTGAATTGCACTTTCAGTGTACCCTGTCATACCGCATGGTCAAGTCTTCCGCTGTGTTTATCTCTCCCTGTGCGGTGTGATACTCATATCCTCTCCCCTTCCTTCTATGTATGTATGGGCATATCCGAAAGTCTATGTGAGTGAGTGTTGGCCTTCAGGCAACGAACAACCAGAATCATAATAGTTGGTATCAGAGCGATTGGATCCAGGCTCTGGAGCGATTGATGAGCTAGAGCATCCATCATCATCTGGCGAGATACTGGAGTTGAGTTTCATGGCGATTCATCATCTTCAGGGTGATTGTCAGTAAGGGTGGTGGTTGTGAGTGTGTGGCAAGAAGAATTGGGCAGAGAGTGAATCACTCCTGACTGGGATTGTGCAGGAGTGGTTGGCGATTGGTACTCAGAGGCCTGGGAGGCTCTAAGAGGCTAAATATAGCCTGGCGATTCACCTGGAGGTTGGCGATTGGGAAGGAAGTGATCCCAGGATGTGACGATTGTGGAATTGGGTCAGGATCCCCAAGTTCCAAGCAGCGCACTACAGGGTGATGTGGCGTTGCACTCACTTTGTCAGTTATTGGCACCTGGGAGTCTTCATTCATTGGTTCTGTCAGTTAGGGGTGAAGCGCCTCAAGGTAATCTACTTTATCACCAAGTTTCAGGCAATTTGGTACGCGGGAACACTGGATACTGTTAGGAGATGAAACTGGCGAGATGGGGTTGACCAGTCAGCCATAACCAGAGTTTCATACATCTTCTTCAGAGTTGACCCTGAAGTGAGTGTGTTCCTTACTCCACCCTGTGTGGCGATTCTGGGGCTATTTTTAGAATAGCGAAATTTGGTCTGTCTGTCAGGTGACAGTTGAAAATCGAAATTCAGACTGTGGGACAGCCATATCCAACTTCCCCTACCTATCTTCTTTGACTTCTACTAACCCTGTTTGACCTTCCCTCTGGCTCATATTTCATCTGGGACTGCGTTACAGTATTGCGATTGACACTGTGCAGTGAATTGGTGAATTCAGGGGTCTGTTGTCAGTGACAATGCAAATTTGAATTCAGTGCTGACATAGCTAAGGCTAGATTGGGCTAGGATCAATCGTAACTTTGATTCTGTCCGTCTAAATTCAGTTATGTCAGTCCTTGGTAAATTGCAATTCAGTATTCTGTCAGTGTCTGAAATCGCACATCCAGATTTGATGTTCTGAGTCAGTTACAGTGAAAACTGTAATCCGCCATACCCAGGGTATGACATACAGGGTCATACAGTGTTGAGGTCTGTAGGGTAAGTCTAAAAATAGGATATCTTGTAAATCACTGCATCTTGGTCATCAGTGGACACCTGCCTAATCCTAATTAGTCACTCTGTCTAATTACTAATCAATACTAATTAGTCCAGGACTGCGTCCTGTCACTTATTATTACAGGATTTGCAATTATTGCATGCAATTGTTGTGTCAGGGCAAGGATGGAAAAATCGTGAAATTGGTTTTTGCCTGAGTGGACTCTGAACTGACCCTGACCCTCAAGCGGTCTGCTGAGACTGAGCACTCACTTGCTCAGACTAACCAGTCTTCTCTCTCCAGGCAGGTGACAGCAATTGAGTTAGTATTGCAGAGAACACTCAATTCCTGTTACCTCCTGCTTGATCTCTGATTGTTGTTTGATTTTATTTATCTGTATTGTGGAAATGGCTGATGCAGAGAAAGCGGAAGCCTCTGAGGTCAAGCCTCAGATTCCGCTAGGCCCTTTAGAGGCTGAACTGCAGGCCCAGGAGGAGAAACTCCGCCAGCAAGCCCAGGCAGTTGAGACTCTAAAGGCTGAACTGAGAAAGAAAGAGGAAGCAGCCCAGAAAGAGGCAAGGCGAAAGTTGTTGATTGCAGATGTGGAAAAGATCAGGGTTAGTGAGAGTTCCAGTCAGTATAATAAGGACATGGCTGAATTCATTCTCCTGCAGGATGATATCAACCGGTCCTATTTTACTAACTGGGACGGCCGGATCACCAGTCTGGAGAGCAGTCACTCAGCCTTTTCTAAAAAGCTGGATGACATCTCTGCCAAACTAGATCTGATCTTCACCCACCTTAAGATCCCAACTGTTTCTCCTGCTCCCCTCTCTCCTGGACCTTCTCAAGGGAAACCTGCATCAACCCCACACTTCAGACCTGCATCTCCACCCCCTACACCCACATCAACAGCAGCTTCTCAGCCCTCATCACCATTTGAGTTTCAGCGGCCTAAGCTGACACCGCCACCCATGTTCTCAGGTGAGGACCCAAAGGTGGATGTGGCAAACTGGGTTGCTGCACAGAGAACCTACCTGAGTGGGTTCAAATGCGGGTGCACCTCCACCTCCAGCAAGCGAGGTATGGAGATGGCTGATTGGGCGTAGAGGTTGGGGGTGGCTGGATTTCTGCAGGCTCTGCAGGACCGGTTTGCAGACAAGGAGCAGGCCAGGAAGGCAGCAGATAAAATTGTGCCTGGGCCAGAAAAAGTTTGACGGCTCCTTGTCCAAACTGTATTCCACCTTTGAGAGTCTGACATCGACTCCGGGGTTGGAGATGAGTGAGCAGGATCTGCTCACTCATTTCCTAAGGGCAGCGCCTGAGCAATTCCAGCTTGCTCTTTTCTCTCAGGGCCACAAGGACTTGCGGTCCTTTGGCAGAGCAGCCCTGGACTTGGAGTCTAAGCTCCATGTTCAGGAAGCACCTTCTGAAGGAAGGAAGGGGCCCTCCTCCAAAGGGCAAAGGAGGAGGAAGGGTGCCCTGTTTGCTGCTGCAGCTTCTGGTTCAGATAGTGACGCAACATCTCAGGGTGGGAGCCCTCCACCTGGGACTGCATCATCATCTCCTGCAGATTCTGTTGTTCTTGCCCTCACTGATGCTTTGATGGGCCTGACAAAGCGCAAGGCCCCAACCCAGAAAGCATCAACCTGTAGATAGGGGAAAGGAAAGGGACGTGCCTCTTCCCCTGGTGCCCAAAGAGTACCATTACCGTATGACGTTCGATGGCCAGCTGACTCCCTTGATCCTTCCGCCTTCCCCTGGCATGCACTCAAGATCCAGGAGCGGGTTTGGAGGAAGAGAAAGGACAAGGGTGTCTGCCTGAGATGCGAGGGGGACCACTTCTTAAAGGATTGTCCCAACATGGCTCGTAGGTCTACAGGCAGCTCTAGTTCAAAAAACTAGAGCAGAGAGAGGTGGAAGAAGCAACTCCTTCCACCAGTGCTGATTCACTTTCTGATGGAGGTGAATCTTCACATCCTCTTGCTGGTTCTTCTATCTCAGGAGTTGCATCTTCAGGGTCTTTCACTTTTGAAGACTCTGAGTTGGATGAGACGTGGGAGGAGGATGATGCTTAGTGTATTGCTGATCTATTCTTATCCTTGCAGGAGAAAAAAAAACATAAGTCTGAACTCATCCTGCTTCGACCCTTCATCCTGGGAGCCAAGTTCAAAGGGCTCTTAGACTGCGGGGCTACTCGCAACTTCATCTCTCCCAGGGCAATCAGCAAGCTGCACTTGGATCAGAGGTTGGTGAAATTGCGACAACCTTAGGAGGTACGCATTGGAGACTCCTCCACAGTCAGGATTACTACTGCTGTCAAGGGCCTACCTGTGTCCTTTGACAAGCCGGGAGAAGTCAGGCATCGCCTGAACTTCTACGTGTTTCCTAATGTCCCCTTTGACCTTGTCTTCTCTATGCAATGACTTGGAGCCACCAATCCTAGGATCGACTGGCGGGTTCCTAGGGTTGAGCTACCTGACCGGCATGGTGTATATCGCCTTTGCATGCTCGCTGACAAGTGCCATCCGGCCAACAACTGTTATTGTATGAGTGCTCGCAGATTCCTGCGGTTCTCACACCAGACTGACCACGCCCGTCTGTTCGTGGCTTTTGTCAAACAGACTGACGTGGAGACTGCTCCCTGTCCCTCTTAGATTCAGCAGGTTGTGGACAGCTTCTCAGATCTTATGGAGGAGCCTACTGGACTTGTCCATAGGCAGACCAAACGTAAGATTGAGATCCTGCTTGGTTCGGTCCCTCCCAAGGGCCGGGTCTACAGGATGTCTCCTGCTGAACTTGAAGAGCTCAGGAAACAGTTAGAGACCCTGACCAGCAAGGGTTGGATCAGGCCCAGCACATCTGAATTTGAGGCACCAGTCCTCTTTGTTCCTAAGGGGAATGGTGAGTTCAGAATGTGCGTGGACTATCGCGGTCTCAACAAAATCACGAGCAAGTCTACAGAGCCCCTTCCTCGCATTGATGATCTGTTCGATATGGTGCAGGGTTGTACCATCTTTAGTAAGATCGACCTCAAATCTGGCTATCACCAGATTGAGATGGCTGAAGGCGATGTCCACAAGACAACCTTCAAAACCAGGTATGGCACTTATGAATACCTGGTTATGTCGTTCGGTCTCTGCAATGCTCTAGGTACCTTCCAAACAGAGATGCATCGCATACTGAGGCCGTACCTGGACAAGTTCGTAGTTGTCTACCTTGATGATACCTTGGTGTTCAGTCGTTCTGTCTAGGAGCATGCGCAACATCTGGCTCTGGTCCTCCAGGCCTCACGTGATAACCAGTATAAGATCATTAGAGAGAAGTCCTTTTTTGGGGTTCCCTCTGTAATCTATCTGGGTCACGTCATCTCTGGAGAGGGGTTGGCTCCTGAAGCAACGAAAGTTGCTGCAGTTCAGGACTGGCCGCGACCTGCTAATATTCGTGATATCTGGTCTTTCTTGGGGCTTGCATCCTACTACAGGAAGTTCATCAAGAACTTCTTTGCGATTGCAGCACCCTTGACTGATCTCACAAAGAAAGACACTTCCTTTCTTTGGACATCAGAATGTCAGGAGGCCTTCACACGCCTCAAGGAGGCCTTGATTCGTGCCCCTGTCTTGAAGCTACCTGACCCTACCCTGCCTTTTGTGCTTACTACTGATGCTAGTTAGTATGGTGTAGGGGCGGTACTTCAACACGATGATGGGAATGGTCTGCAACTTATCGAATACATGAGCAAGAAGATCAAAACTAAGAAGCTGCAGGACTCTACCTATGAGAAAGAGTTGTATGCTCTTGTGTCAGCGCTCAAGCATTGGAAACACTTTCTCCTGGGCAGACACTTCAAGATCTTTTCAGATCACTCCACCCTTCAGTGGATGAAGTCTCAGGGAGAGTTGAATGACAAGCTTGCTCGTTGTATTCAGTTCATTGACATGTTTGACTTTGAACTGAGACACAAGAAGGGTTGCTACAATCGAGTAGCAGATGCCCTTTCTCGTAGGCCTGACTCTCTGTTTCTGATCTCCTTCACTCACTCATTTGGAGAGAGGACACGTCAGACCATTGCCAGGTTGCTGCCCCAGGATGAGATCTTTGGGCCTATTGTGAGGAATCTCCAAGATGATCCTACCTCTGAACCATGATATACTCTGGTTTCAGGTCTGCTGTACACATGCAGCAGAGATGAGGAGCGTCTGTGCATTCCCTAGGACCGCAAGCTAAAGACACTTCTGATGCCAGAATGTCATGATGCTCGTGGTTACTTTAGGGCCCTCAAATCTTATGCAGCCCTGTCGCAACGCTTCTTCTGGAAGGAGATGAGGAGTGACATGCTGCACTATGTGGAAACCTGTGAGCTATGCCAAAGGAACAAGGTTGTACGTCGACCTCCCCTTGGCTTACTCAAACCCCTACCTATCCCTGATGCTCCTGCACAGTCAGTATCTATTGATTTTACCGACTTGGGTAGGACTACACCACGAGGTATGCGTCAGGTCATGGTATGTGTGGATCGGTTCTCCAAATATGCAGAGTTCATCCCCTTACCAGCTGAGGCTCGTGTGCCAGCCGTTCCGGCAGTGGGTTGCTCATCATGGACCACCCACCTCCATCATCAGTGACAGAGATCCCTGATTTTGCAGTAATGACTGGCAATCCTACTGCAGGGATTACCTTCATTCTCATCTGGATATGACATCTGGTCGTCATCCTGAAGCCAATGGACAGGCTGAAGTGATGAACCAGATTCTTTTCCAGCTGTTGCGTCCTGTGATCAGTCCTAATCAGCAGGACTGGGATCTCCATCTAGGTCGTGCACAACTTCTGTATAACACGTATGTACACTCCTCTACTGGCTTTACACCCTACCGGTTACACTGGGGTCGTGAGCCACGACAGCTTCTCGATGACATCATCGACAAGGCTACCCCTACGTTGACGCCTGGAACTGCAGAGTTCACCAGACGTTACCGTGTGGACATAGAGTGCACCCGTGCTAACCTGTTGAAAGCCCAAAAGGCTATGATTCAACAGGTTAGTAAGCATAGGCGTCCTTCTACTATTCGCACAGGTGAGGTGTGGGTACTCAGTTTTGAGTTGTCGCGAGAGGAGGACATATCACCTAAGCTGCTGCCACAATATATGTGTCCAGGGCAAGTCTTAGATACAATGGGAGCTGATCCATTTGGACCATCCTATACAGTGGATGTCCCTATGCATCTACAAACCTACCTTGTCTTTCATCTAAGATGTTGCCATTCACGCCAGCTGATGCATTTCCGGACAGGCCCCCACAGTTCGGTCCCCCTATCCCTGGCAAAGGGTATGAGGTTGAATCTGTGGAGGATGAGTCAGGTACAGGTCTAGATAAGGAGTACCTTGTGAAGTTCTTGTACCAGCCACACACTGAGGACCGCTGGTTTACTCGCAAGGAACTTTTGAAGACAGCTAAGTCTGTCATCCTCAAATATGAGGCAACACAGAAGGGAGTATCCCTTCGGTGCTCTGCACGCCTACACCCCTAGCTCGGAGGTCCTCGCTCCGGGGGAGGGTAGGTCTGCAATGACTTGCTGTTTTCTGGTCGCCTGTAGCCTCTCTCTGTCGAGGTTGTACTATAGGTAGGACATATCCGCAATTTTGTTTGGTTGAGGGCTAACCGAGAGACCTACCTGTGAGGGAAATTCGTGAGGGACATATCTGCAAATCCGGGGAAAAATACAGGCCCGGTACTAACAGGATTCCCTACAGCTACCCTAACTGCGCATAGCAGGCCCGGGCTACCCTAGGACAGACAGGCCCTAAGGGCCTCTGATAGACGGTCCTATAGCCTATAGCCGGGTCCGGTAGAGGCCGAGAGGCCGAAACAGAAACGGTACCGGTCGGTCAGTAAGTCCGGTCTAGGTCGAGTCTAGGCTAGTTGTTGTCTATAGATAGATTGGGCACATCGGTTCAGGGCTTTTGGCAGTTGGCACCGAGTACATCGCTGCTGCGCTACGCGTGAACCGGTAGTGGTGACGGCTCAACATGGAAGGAGACGGGCATAGCCAGACCTCCAGAGTGCAGGCCATAGCTGGGACCTGCGCTGTACTCTGCCAGCACGCAGGGGCTGACAGAGGTCTGGGTTATCAAGGTCTGCTGGAGGCAAGAGAGATTGGTGCCCTGCTGGACCCTCCTCCGGAGTGGGGTCCCAGGGGGTTTATGCTGCAGCTATGGCTGCAGCTTCTTCATCTCAGAGGTCATCTTGTCAGGGTTTGGTGGCACTGCTGCAGACTTCCACCCGGGAAGTCTTTCGACACTTCGTCATCATCAGATACTGTGGCGCTGGTTTTCTCTCATCCTCCGAGTGGCGCTTGGCCTCAGAGGCCTGTTTCAGGGTGGCGCTGCCCTCACGAGGCTGTATCTGGGTGGTACTTGATGTTTCAGGGACTCAGGGGGTGTTACGGGTGCCAATCAGGGTTGGGGAGTGAAGTGCTGCTCATTTCTGACCAGCGCACTGTAGTACTGAAGTTGTCCTGACATTTGAGACTCTGAGTTTAATAAACAGTGTAATACTGTGTTTGGACTATCATCGTTTCATTGTTTTCCTGGATGTGATCTGCTCGACTTTTCTCTATGANCAGTGTAATACTGTGTTTGGACTATCATCGTTTCATTGTTTTCCTGGATGTGATCTGCTCGACTTTTCTCTATGACTGGTTGTGAGGATTGAGTGGAGTGAATTGCACTTTCAGTGTACCCTGTCATATCGCATGGTCAAGTCTTCCGCTGTGTTTCTCTCTCCCTGTGCGGTGTGATACTCCTACCCTCTCCCCTTCCTTCTGTGTATGTATGGGCATAACCGGAAGTCTATGTGAGTGAGTGTTGGCCTTCAGGCAACGAACAACCAGAATCATAACAGCTGCACTACTCACTGAATGTTACATCTTCGACGCCACACGGGTTCTACCGGACCCGACTGAGGGTTCGAGGGACACAGTAGGGCCTAAAGGCCCGACCTTGGGGGTACTACAGGCCGTAAAGGCCTTACCTTGGACCAGACCCAATGGGCAGGCCCAAACGACATTACCGTTTGGGCCTGGCGGCGCTCTTGAGGCTGCCGCCCGCCGGTTGGGGCTGAACCGTCCATCTTGACGGTTCAGGGCACGGCCAGGCCTCGCAGCATTGAGGCCCGCCTCAGCCCCACCGATACAAAAGTACCGGTCCAGCCTCATTGAGGCTATCGACCCACCGACACTCTAACGGTGCGGTATGGTACAGCGCAAATCAGCGATGGCGCTAAGTTTAGCGCAGGAGCAGCGAGGAGCAGCGCAACATTAGCGCAGCAGCAGCGAGCGGAGCAGCAGCAGCGGCGACTGGGCCTATCGGCGGCCATAGCCGCATGAGGTATCGGGAGTCGGAGGCTTCTCTCCTCCCTCCCATCGCCAGTCCCCCCTCTCTCTCTCTCCTCCTCGGCTCCCTTCTTCTTCTTCTTCTTCTTCTTCTTCTTCTCCTTCTTCTTCTTCTCCTTCTTCTGCTTCTTCTTCTTCTTCTTCAGACTGGAGACTTATACTAGTTGGACAGAGATCAGAGTTGGACTTCGGTGGCAAGAGGTTGTGGTACTTACCGGATTCGAGACTTGGAGATTGTTGGGGATGATACTCGGCTGCATCACAGATTTGACACCGGTTACATTAGGATCATGTATCTCCGACATTGGTGACTTATTGTCCTCGACATTTTGATCTTGTTCGATGACATTTTGGATTACCATATCGGTGACCTACTGGTTTTCTATCTCGGTGACATTTGGTGCTACCTACATCTCCCACCTCCTTCGTCTCTCCTCCCACCTTCATATGTGTATGTGTGTACGGGGCTGAGCATCGTCCATGTATGGCTCAAACCCCACCATCTCACGATTGTATGTGTGTGGAGTGATATCTATGTGAGTCAGTCTATGTGAGTCAGTCCGTTTATCAGACTTCCGCTGCATATATGCTCATCCTACATTGGTTGATCTTTGGTTCTGCCCATACTCATTGAAGTATGTAACAGTTTTGGTATCGGAGCAGACCAGTTTACGGATCTGCTCATTAGGTAAGTCTGATTTAGGAATTAGATTGCTTCTTCAATCTTCCAAATCAGCGTTGTATTACTATCAAGTTCAAAGTTGCAAAATTTTTTCTTTTTTTCGGTATTCTACTTATTTCGGCATTTCCGTTTTATTGCGGTATTCGGACTTATAATTCGGATTTCTGTTTGATTCCGGTATGCTGTTTGTTTAGGTTCCGATTAATTGATACTAATCCAATAATTTGTTAGGATCGGATTTCTGATTTGAAAACGTTATTAGGGTTCAATCAGTATCCTGTTGAAATTCGGCATTCTGATTTCCATTCAGCAGTCTGTTTTTAACTTCGGCATTCTATTGTAAAACCTATATTTCGTTTTTCTTTTAGTATTTCCGTTTTTCCTTCAGTATTGGAAATTAGGGTTATGAAATTTTGGTTGTTTGATCAACTTGGGAATTTCGAACGTTTTGGAACCGTAATACCGGAAATTCCGCGGAAACACGGAAAATTAGGGTTGGTCCCGAATTTTTCGCGAATTTTTTTCTTTTTCTTTTCCCTTGTTGGAGAAATTCCGAAAACGGATTTAGGCCTTTAAAAATCGGATTTTGACGGTGGAAATTCTCGAAAATTCGCATTTTTGAAAATTCGAGTGTTTTTCTCCGGATTTTTTCCGATTTTTTTTTTTTTGGCAAATTAATCCGAATCTGACCCTCACATTGCAACTTCCGGGTAGTTCACTAATTAACGGTGAACTCCCGGACCATAATTGATCTCAAAAGAGACCTAATCTTAATACAATTCAAATTCGTTCATTATCATTATTACAAATATTGTTTATTGATTATCATCAAGAAATCTTTAGTGCAAACATTGTTTATTGATTATCATTAAGGGATTTTATTGCGTATTAATCATTAATTAATTTTATTGATTAAATAGTTCGTTATTATTTCTTCTTATTACGATTTTTTTTTTGGAATTGTTTACGGGAAACTATTTTTTTCCGTTTTGATTAGGTGTCTACAGTCCATCAGTGGGACAGGGGACTGTATGCGTATTGTTTGATTGTTCTACCCCTGTTCCCACTCTCCCGACCCTTCTCGTATTTTGTGACCACCGGGACCTCTCAAGTACCACATCAGTTCACACTGATGTCGATGGAACAGGACATCGGGGCACTGCCACGACGCAGTGCCAGGCTTGCAGTTCGTACCCGCCCTGTGGTACCTCCAAGACCCAAGCAGCGAATCAGCAAGCGGAAGACTCCAGTAGCATCAAGTACAACAATAACAGTACCGAGTACCACCGGGGTTCTTCCCACATGCTCGGTCCAAGGGGCCGGTGAGCCGTTGGCAGCTTACCTTCAACGGGTACAAGCATTCACAGATGTCGTAGCTACCGCAAAGGCACAGGAGGAGGCAGCAGAGGTAGAACGTCAGCGGCTGGCCAATGAGGCGGCGGCCCTAGCTCAGCAGACTGCTGAGGCTGACGCCGTGGTGCGAGACAAGCGGAACGCCATTTGCATGGAGTCCTTGACTATGAATGAGAGTCGGTGGACGACACTGCTCCAGGGCATGCTGTTTGTGCCTTCGGAAACACAGGCGGATCCAACACCGGCGGAGGAAGAAAGGAGCAACCTGGCTAACCTGATGTTGAACATGATGCGAGCGATCATGTGGAACAACACGATGCTAATGGTGCAGATACACGAGGGCAGACAACTGCGACAGATTCAGCAGAATGATTCTGCAACCTTAACAGTTGTTGTTCGCGCTGCCGCCACACATCAGCAACAACAGCAACAGCTGTTGAGCACCACCACCGCACGCGTCAACAACATCGAGGCTAACGCCTCAGCAGCGCCAGGCTGCACGACGGACGCGACGAAGCAGCTCAACGAGCGCATCGATCACGTCGTCACTATCATCGGTGATACAGACGATTTCACTAGCGTGGCCACAATCAGCAGCACGGTTCATGGTTCGCAATGTCGTGAAGGCAGCCATGAACGAGGTGTACACCTGCTCTCAAGGGAATATGCCAACTCGAGACTGGACAACTAAGTGGCAGAAGATAGTGACCACGCCAGACTTCGATTTGAGCTTTACCAATCAGCGATCCGAGTTCTTCTCGCGATCGTGCGCAGGACTGCGGTCGGCACTCGACAACGAGTACAATTATGATTCATTCCAGGCCATCCTGGATCGTGCAAACTTAGTCATCCAAACGGATGACAAGGCCGCAAACGAACGACAGTCCCAACCGCATTATGTGGCTAAGCAGGGCTATCAACGACCGACACATAACAATGCCGTGATTTCTGAAGAAACATTCGATCTCCACGCTGCAGCAGCATCCTCGAGTGATGGAGGAATTGTAGCAGCGCTCCCGCCGAAGCCTCCCAAGAGAGTTCGGAAGAACAAGGCGACACAAGAGACGGCATCGACGGGAACTGGGCAGCGGCCATGGACGGCTTACAAGATAACCAAGGATGTCTATGACCTTTGTCAAAAGTACGGATACTGCCTTTGGTGCAACGGCGTCACTCATTTGACCGCACAATGCCCCGAAAAGGGCAAGGCACGAGTACCCCGTCCAGCAAACTCGGGAAATTGAGTTACATAAGGAGAGGGGTGACGTCTCTCCTCACTCCGCCGGAACCGGTTGCCTTGCTAGCAATCGATGTCACTACCGGGGAGCATGCATTAGTCGCTGATTCTCATTCTACGTACGAGGATTATGCCGCCCAGCTGGTACCACCACTAGACCAGCCGCCACGTGCACTTAGATTGCGTATGCGCAGCCTGTACACCGTCGACAAGTGATCCGGTCAGTTCGCCACTGATTTCCGAGGACTCGACGGCGTGGTCAAGACTTGAGGAGCTTGACCCGCTCACGAGAGAGGACTTCGCTTGGATGCCTCTACCCTCGACCAGAACCTTGCCAAGGCCGCATTGCAACGCCTTGATGGCAAATCTACGCTCTTATTTGCACGCTACAGTACCAGCTCCGTTGATGGACGACGGGGTGGCGGTTGTCGACCTCCGCTCCTATCTTGCGAAGATTGACCGCGAGTACGCCACCCAAAGGTACGTCGAAACCGACGCTCCTTTGCTCTATATCCGCATTCAAATCGGAAAGGCAACCTGTAGTGCCTTGATTGATTGCGGAGTGTCTCGCAACTTTATGAGCCAAGCCTTTATGGCCCGCGCAGGTCTTGGCCCACGCGTTCGAAGGAAGACGCAACCCACGCAAGTTACACTCGCGGACGGCCGCACGCAAAAGTCGATTGACCGATGCGTCGACGGCGTTCCGGTGTACTTTGCGCCACTTGCGTGCGAGCCGGTGTCTTTTGACATCCTCGACACCAAGTTCGACATGATTCTAGGCATGTCTTGGTTGCGTAGCGCCGATCATCCGGTGAACTTCCATGACCGAACCGTTCACATTCATGATCGGAACGGAGTGTTAGTYCCATGTACGGTCGCGACCCCTCACACTTCGGTTGCTTGTCACGTGGTTTCCGTTGCGCGGATTCGCGACGCCATTGCTCGGAATGACGTCGAGGAGATGGGCCTTGTATTCTTGCATGCTTTCCCCTCGCCGGACGGACCAGCTGCGTCACCGCCGGACCCACGCATTTCTCACCTCTTGGACGAGTATGGAGACGTCTTCGAGGCTCCCACCGGAACGGTTCCGGATCGGCCCATACGTCACGGGATCACTCTCGAGGCTGGTGCCGTCCCTCCGCGTGGATGTATCTACCGCATGAGCGAAGAGGAACTCGAGGTGCTTCACGCACAACTCGATGACCTTCTCGACAAGGGCTGGATTTGCCCTAGTTGCTCGCCATACGGTGCACCTGTTCTCTTCGTTCGGAAGAAGAACAAAGATCTACGGTTATGCATCGACTATTGCAAACTTAACGCACAAACCGTAAAGAACGCCGGCCCTCTCCCTCGGATTGATGATCTCCTTGAGCGGTTAGGCGGCGCGACGTACTTCTCGAAGTTGGACTTGAAGTCAGATTACCACCAGATTGAAATCCAGCCTCAAGATCGGTACAAGACCGCGTTCAAGACGCGGTACGGGCATTTTGAGTGGGTTGTCATGCCCGTTGGCCTCACCAATGCCCCCGCAACTTTTCAAGCAGCTATGACGACTGAGTTTCTCGACTTGCTCGATTGCAGCATCCTCGCCTACCTCGATGACATCTTGGTCTATAGCAGGACGTTGGACGAGCACATCACACACCTTCGCGCTGTTTTGAATCGTTTGCGATTGGCCAAGTACAAAGCGAACCGCGACAAGTGCGAGTTCGCCAAGCAAGAGTTTGAGTATTTGGGCCACTATGTTACGCCGAAAGGCATTCGTCCCTTAGCGGACAAGATCCAAGCCATCGTGGATTGGCCGGAACCCCGTTGTACGACGGATGTACGCTCTTTCATGGGTTTGGCTGGATACTATCAGCGATTCGTCGAGTCATACTCGAAAGTGGCCGCTCCTTTGTCGAGACTTCAATCCCCGAAGGTGCCCTTCGAGTTCGACGACGCAGCCCATGGCGCGTTCACTACATTGAAGGCAGCAATGCAAGCCGCACCTGCCCTCCGTATATACGACCCCACCCTACCCACCCAAGTGACTACGGACGCTTCGGGATACGGTATTGGTGCGGTGTTGGAACAGTGTCACGAGGATGGTTGGCATCCGGTCGAGTATTTCTCCCGAAAGGTGCCTCTCGTCAACACTCTCGACGACGCTAGGAAGAAAGAGCTACTCGCGTTCGTCACCGTTCTCAAACGGTGGCGCCACTTTCTTCTCGGCCGTCTGCGGTTTAAATGGAATACGGACAACAATCCGTTGACCTTTTACAAAACGCAGGACACGGTCACTAGCACGATCGGTCGATGGATGTATTACATCGACCAGTTCGACTTTGACCCGTGCCACATTCCCGGTCCCGCCAATCGAGCTGCGGACGCCCTCTCACAACGGCCCGACTTTTGTGCCATTGTGACCACGACATTCGACCTCGATGACGATTTGCAGCCGCATTTCGTCAAAGGCTACAAGTCCGATCGGACTTACTCTGCAGAGCTCTCATCGGATCACCCGTCGGCTAGCCACTATCGGATTTCCGACGGGTTCCTTCTCCTTCACACGAGAGGAAATGACTTGTTAGTTGTGCCCCAAGATCGCATCTTACGGACTCGTCTTCTCGGCGAATTCCACGACGCACGACTTTTGGCACACCTTGGCGTGAACCGCACATTAGCACGCCTCCGTCAGCGTTTTCACTGGCCCGACATCCTTCATGACGTCACGAGGTACGTGGAGTCATATGCAGTTTGCCACCGTAACAAGGGTCGATCTCGAGTCCCCTTCGGCGAACTGAAAGCGTTGCCGATTCCTCGGGCACCGCGCCTCTCCACTGCTATGGACGTGACAGGCCCGTTTCCCCGCGATCGCCACGGCCATGACGGTATTCTGACGGTCGTTGACCGTTTGAGCAAGTATGCTCGCTTCCTTCCTTGCAAGTATCATGCTGCAGCGCCTGAGCTCGCACGACTCTTGCACACCGGTTGGATTACAAACCAGGGTGTTCCGGAGGACATAGTGAGCGACCGAGATACTCGCTTCATGTCAACCTTTTGGACTTCCCTCATGGCTGAGTCCGGTACGACTATGAAGCCGAGCTCGGCTCGGCACCCGCAGACGGATGGCCAGACGGAGCGAGCACACCAGACTGCTCAGATGATGTTGCGTACGCTCATCCGTCCCGACCAGAAAGATTGGGTTGACCGTCTTCCAGACATTGAGTTCGCCTATAACACTTCGGTGCACCCGGCGATCTGCGTCACACCGTTCGAGTTAACATCATGGTGGAGAGAAAGCACGGATCTTCGCTGATCTCCTTTTGCCACAGGCTGCAGACATAGACGTCCTTTGCTCTCCCGCTTCCGTTCGGAAGTACCGGGACTTGCTGATCAAAACCCGCGCAAATATGCAAAAGGCTCAGGTCCGCATGCAGCAGCAAGCTAACCGACGTCGACTCCCATGTCCTTTCCGCGAGGGAGACCTTGTTTGGGTCCTCTCCGAGGAATTTGCGCTCGAGCAGGACGTTTCGCGCAAACTCCTTCCGAAATGGTTCGGACCATGGGAAGTCACTTCTGTCGTTGGAGACGACCCCGCAGGTCCTTCCTTCATGATCAACATTCCACCGCACCTTACAGTGCATCGGGTCTTCCACGCGTCGAAGCTGGCCATCTACACGCCACCTTTGGCTGACGAGTTTCCCGGACGTTAGACGATCCGCCATCTATGGACGGACATCAGGAAGTTGACCGAGTCATCACGCACCGCAAGTATGGCAACAAGCCAATGCAGTACAAAGTCACATTCAATCAATGTGCGCCTGACGACACTCGGTGGATCTCTAGTGCAGACTTGCAGACTTCTGCACCCCTGATCTTCGCCAACTACGAGAAGACACGACTTGCCAAGGCAGCAGCTCGTCCCACCCGACCCATCCCGGTACTCCGCCCTCGCAAGTAGCTCGGTCTTTTAAGAGGGGGAGTGTGTTACATCTTCGACGCCACACGGGTCCTACCGGACCTGACTGAGGGTTAGAGGGACACAGTAGGGCCTAAAGGCCCGACCTTGGGGGTACTACAGGCTGTAAAGGCTTACCTTGGACCAGACCCGACGGGCAGGCCCAAACGACATTACCGTTTGGGCCTGGCAGCGCTCTTGAGGCTGCCGCCCGCCGGTTGGGGCTGAACCGTCCATCTTGACAGTTCAGGGCACGACCAGGCCTCGCAGCATTGAGGCCGGCCTCTGCCCCACCGGTACAAAAGTACCGGTCCAGCCTCATTGAGGCTATCGACCCACCGACACTCTAACGGTGCGGTATGGTACGGTGCGAATCAGCGCTGGCGCTAAGTTTAGCGCAGGAGCAGCGAGGAGCAGTGCAGCATTAGCGCAGCAGCAGCGAGCGGAGCAGCAGCAGCGGCAACTGGGCCTATCGGCGGCCATAGCCGCCTGAGGTATCGGGAGTCAGAGGCTTCTCTCCTCCCTCCCATCGCCAGTCCCCTCTCTCTCTCTCTCCTCCTCGGCTCCCTTCTTCTTCTTCTTCTTCTCTTCAGACTCCATCTTCTTCTTCTTCTTCTTCTTCTTCTTCTTCTTCTTCTTCTTCTTCTTCTTCTTCTTCTTCTTCTTCTTC